AACTTCTACATAAATGTTTTGTAATCTTAATATAATATAGAGAAATAGTCCATAAACAAAGATAAACTTTTACATAACTATTTTCTAATCCTACTGTGTGGTTGGAGAACTAGCAACTCTGGAGCAATGTTCCTTTAACAGTGGAATGAGAAACGGATTGAAAGGAAGATTTGGTGTGCAGTTAGCTTCCGCTTCTAAAAAAGCTTTACAACATGCAGGACCAATGTTAAAATTATGGGTCAAAGTGGATTATGAGATCTCTGCAACACATCCGGGAATATTCATCAATGTAGACAAACATTTTGTAAAGTCGGGCCTTTGTGGCAAGCCAGTACTTGATGGGATCTAAAACGGAAGTTGAAATTGCGGTAGTTGAGCATTTCCAGAAGCTGTAATGAATATGGCTACTAGGAGAAATAACACATTTCGGATTAACATGATGAATATGACAAATTTTATAAAACAAGAGAAGAGAAGAATAAGAATTCCAATATACGATTTTTATTTGATGAAGTTAAGTAATTGGTTATGAAGTTCTTTTATACTGAATACTTTAAGAAAGTACTAATTACCTTAGCAAAATGTATTTTAAGTTACCTTTTAGACAGTTTGACATTTTTATTCTTCTCAGGAAATATAAACGGTAATATTTGGCTGTGTACTAATGAGTAAGTTATTATGGCTAAATAATACCATAATTTATACTTGCATTCTATTTCACAAGATCTCTATTTATTGATTTGAATAAATTTTAATTAAAATACTGACTCAGAATTAATTATTAAGTAATATGTTTAAGTGCAGATAAACATAAATTTAGTTACAAACGAGGTTAGAGTAAGAGGTTGATACGTGTTCATGTCCATCCTAAGATGATAAAATTTCTTAGATGCATCAAAGTTATTTGTAATGAAGTGAAATTGTTCTAGTTTTAACAAACTGTAAAGAAGATTAAACATTCAACAATACTAATTCTTCAAAATTATATAACAGCTTACACATGTTAAAACATAATCATATACTCTCTATTATTTAAGATCTTCTTTACGGGAGTTACTTTTACCCATGCACAAATGGGAAAAGATCTTATATTAGTAACATTCATTTTTATTAAGTTGTACTTGTACATCATTCTCTCTTTTAAAATGTTTCTTTGAAAACAATCAAAACTGTCTATGTTGTTCGCAAAGAGCTTTCGGTAATTTTTTGATTTTTTCGTAAGACAAAGAAAGATATCCAAGTGTAAAGTCGCCGTTTTTTTAATATTCAGTTTATTAATTTAAATATTATTCTAAAAGTATTAAAACAATATAAAAAAAACTTATTCTACTTCTTCAAAAACTGCTAAAAGATTTAAGGAAACTCCAAAACAGAATTATGATTTTTCTATATAAAATTTTTCTGATTAAAAATAAATTAGTTAAGAAAATTAAATAATATAATAAATTCTAAAATTATATTAGTTAACTTTCATTTTAAAAATTGTGAAGGACAGAAGTGAAGTACATTTAATAATTTCTCCAGATTAAGCTTTAATTCAGTTATAAATATTTTGAGGAACATATTTTCAAAGGAACTACAACTGGAACGACTATGTTGTCTTATAGTAATTAGAATGAGAATAAAAGTTGAAACTTTGAAGAACACTGTGATAAAATAATTTGATTCATTAGAAAGATAAAAAATTATATGTGTTGGACCATGTAATGCTTAGACATGTCTTTGGAGTGTTTACATTCAGTAAAAAAAGTCAACCAATTTTTTTGATACTTTAATTTTAATATTGAAAATATCGTGAATAGATTAAATCCTTGAATTTTTGTAAATGTATGTAAGAAAAATAATGCAACACTATCACTATCATAATGTTTTTCCGGTCATTGTTTATTTATAATAGAATCAGATAATCGTTTAATGAAAATAAACTTCTACATAAATGTTTTGTAATCTTAATATAATATAGAGAAATAGTCCATAAACGCAGATAAACTTTTACATAAATATTTTCTAATCCTACTGTGTGATTGGAGAACTAGCAACTCTGGAGCAATGTTCCTTTAACAGTGGAATGAGAAACGGATTGAAAGGAAGATTTGGTGTGCAGTTAGCTTCCGCTTCTAAAAAAGCTTTACAACATGCAGGACCAATGTTACCAAAATTATGGGTCATTGTGGACTGAGAGATCTCTGCAACACATCCGGGAATATTCATCAATGTAGACAAACATTTTGTAAAGTCGGGCCTTTGTGGAAAGCCAGTACTTGGTGGGATCGGAAGCGGAAGTGGAAATTGCGGTAGTTGAGCATTTCCAAAAGCTGTAATGCATATAGCTACTAGGAGAAATAACACATTTCGGATTGACATGATGAATATGACAAATTTTATAAAACAAGAGAAGAGAAGAATCAGAATTCCAATATACGATTTTTATTTCATGAAGTTAAGTAATTGGTTATGAAGTTCTTTTATAATGAATACTTTAAGAAAGTACTAATTACCTTCGCAAAATGTATTTTAAGTTACCTTTTAGACAATTTAACGTTTTTATTCTTCTGAGGAAATATAAACGGTAGAAATAGTTGGCTGTGTACTAATGAGTAAGTTATTATGGCTAAATAATACCATAATATATACTTGCATTCTATTTCACAAGATCTCTATTTATTGATTTGAATAAATTTTAATTAAAATACTGTCTCGAAATTAATTATTAAGTAATATGTTTAAGTGCAGATAAACATAAATTTAGTTACAAACGAGTTCAGAGTAAGAGGTTGATGCGTGTTCTTGTCCATCTTAAGATGATAAAATTGCTTAGATGCATCAAAGTTATTTGTAATGAAGTGAAATTGTTCTAGTTTTAAAAAACTGTAAAGAAGATTAAACATTCAACAATACCAATTCTTTAATGTTATATAACAGCTTACACATGTTAAAACATAATCCTATATATATATAAGTTAGCATAATACATTGTATATATACTCTCTACTATTTAAGATCTTCTTTGCGGGAGTTACTTTTACCCATGCACAAATGTGAAAAGATCTTATATTAGTAACATTCATTTTTATTAAGTTGTACTTGTAATATTCTCTCTCTTTAAAATGTTTCTTTGAAAACAATCCAAACTATTTATGTTGTTCGCAAAAGCTTTCAGTAATTTTTTTTATTTTTTCGTAAGACAAAGAAAGATATACAAGTGTCTAGTCGCTTTTTTTTTATATTCAGTTTATTAATTTAAATATTATTTTAAAAAGTATTAAAACAATATAAAAAACTTATTCTACTTCTTTAAAAACTGCTAAAAGATTTAAGAAAGCTCCAAAACTAAAATTATGATTTTTCGATATAAATTTTATCTAATTAAAAATAAATTAGTTAACAAAATTAAATAATATAATAAATCCTAAAATTATTTTGGTTAACTTTCATTTTAAAATTTATGATGGATAGAAATGAAGTACATTTAATAATTTCTCAAGATTAAGCTTTAATTTAGTTAAAAACATTTTGAAGAACATATTTTCATAAGGAACTACAACAGAAATGACTATGTTGTCTTATAGTAATTAGAATAAGAATAAAAGTTGAAACTTTGAAGAACACTGTGATAAAATAATTTGATTCATTAGATAGATAAAAATTGATAAGCTTTAATTTAGTTAAAAACATTTTGAAGAACATATTTTCATAAGGAACTACAACAGATATGACTATGTTGTCTTATAGTAATTAGAATAAGAATAAAAGTTGAAACTTTGACGAACACTGTGATAAAATAATTTGATTCATTAGATAGATAAAAATTGATATGTGAATATCTAAATATTTGGGCCAAAACTATTCAAAATATAAACATTGAATCACAATGTTAATTATGAATATCTAAATATTTAAATTGTAATTATAAATTCAAATATCTGGAAATTGGAATCATAAAAATTACAAAATATTTGAATAAAAAAAGTTGGACTCTATATTTGTTTTTTTTTTTAAAAAAAAAAAAACCAATTGGAACCAGAACCGAAACTAAAATACATATGATCAGTATCAAAATCTATAAAACCAAATATATGAACCTGGTCCGAATATGGAGGGGATTTCGTTTAGTTTTCACTTTTCACGCCTTGATTGGTACAACAGATGATAAAGCAGTAGCAGTATGCTGCAGAAGCAGTATGCTAAAGAAGCTGTATGCTTTCAATAAAGTTTTTAATAAAGTGACTGGCAGAGCATTAGCAGTATACGATTTTAAAATTGTCATAATAATTAGTAAAATAATATATTCTTTTAAAATAATATGTATATATATAATATATATTAATAATATATAATTTTATTAAAAATAATGAATTTTCATTATATAAATTATATTTAAAATTTTAATTTTTTTAAAAAATATTAAATTATTTTGGATATAACATATTACTCATATATAAAATTATAGTTATAATTTAATTAATTATTATTAAATTATAATTTTTATTAAATAAATAATAATAATTTAAATATAAATTATAATTAATTTATATAAAATATAATTTATATAAAAAATATAATTTATTAACTTATTTATCGGCAGAGCACTAAATTACTCATATATAAAATTATCATAAAAGTTAATATATAATTTATTTATTAGTGTCTAAATAATATGTTTATATCGATAATGTATAAATTATATTATGTTATGTTTGTTATTAAAAATAATGAATGATATCTGTAATTATATAAAATATATTATATTTTAAATGTGAAATATTTTTCTTTTAAAAAAATTAATTGTAATTTTTATTTTTTAAAATATAAATTTATATTTAATTATAAAAATATTTTTTATATTTTAAACAAAAATAATTTAATTATATATAAATATTATTAAGTTTTATATTTTCTATATGCAAATGCTCTCCCAAAAGTTCTATATGAGAGCATTGAGCAAAGAGCATTTGGAGAGCATTTGCATTTGGTAAATGCTTTTCTAAATGTTTCTTTGCCAAATGTTGATTGGATAATAGAAAGCATAATGCCTATGCTAAGTAAGGTTTACTCGGTTTGTGAATCACGGTTCTTTTACTTGGTTTATTCAATTTGCACCATGAATCTCGAGTAAATCCAACTTAACCAAACCGAAATTTTATTTTTTTTAATTGTTTTATTTTAGCTTCTTTCTTACTCATAGTTTTTTTCTTCTTATTCATGTCGTCACAAATCAAACTATCATGAATCAGAAGGAAAATGAAAACCAGCGATTTTGAAAGCAGTCATGCCGCCGTCAACGACCAAGTTATGACCAGTAACATATTTACCGTCGTCGGAGGCCAAATACAGAGCAGCTCTAGCCACGTCAGCTTCTTCGCACTCGGCTCCTTTTAACACACCCATTCCTTTTACTGTTTTCTTGAGTTTTTCTTCCGTCGCCGTGGGAAAAACTTTTTGAAGGTAACGTAGAGTGAGCGGCGTCGCCACCGTACCTGGTGAGATACAGTTGATACGCACACCATGTTCGCAGAGCTCGCTCGCTGCCGATTTAACGATCCCAGGAATTGTGAATTTGGATATTGTGTATGAATGTGGGGCCAACCCTCCAATCACACCTGTATGATTTGATGAGTAGTAAAAGTCAACAATATTGTGCGTTGACCTGATATTGAGAGGAAAATAACATTATCAAAACTGAGTTTAATTCGATTTTTTTTTAATTATCTTTTAATCATGTCTTAGTTACGACAAGCTAAGAATGAATGATGTAATAGGGAGAAAGGATTATCATTCATGCGTTATTATATGTGCAATGAAAACTATATATGAGATTAAGATTATGAATGAAGACATGAAAAGATTACAACACAAATCGATTTTATTTTGCATATGTTACCAAACTAACGGGAAAATGGGCAATTAATTCCCCAAGTATTTGAAATCGGCAGTTTTAATACTCAAGTATTGCTCGCGCAGAATTATTTCCCAACTAATAGTTGACTGCGCGAAATTAGGAATGAAATAGTCAAACCGTTAACTGGTTAACGGAAAGATAACGGTTGACTATTTCGTTCCTAATTTCACACAGTCATCTATTAGTTGG